AAGGCATCCTCGAGCGAGGAGAGCGAAGACAGCGTCCTCTAAGGACCGACGAAAGACGACGACGACGATGACTCAAGCAGTGGCGAATCGTCCTTGCTTGCCTATAGCCCTACCAAACCATGTTCTAGGAACCTTTTGTGGTTTCCACGAAATGTTCTTAGAACCTTTCTGGCGGAGTCTGTCTTGTTTTATCACATCGGGGTTATGTTCTAAGAGCATCGTATTTGGTATTAGAACAATTCTGGGTTTACGAACATTTCGTGGTAGGACTATAGGAATGCTGGGAAGGTCGGCCCCTGCTCTACAAGCGAGAAGAGCGAAGAGAGCATCCTCTAAGGACCGACGAAAGACGATGACGACGACGATCGCCGAGCGCGTTCCACTACTCGCGAAGTGCCCACTCGCAAACGTCCAGAGAACGCATGTCCGTTTTCGATGTAATCTATCGTAGATCCCCCGCGGCGGATTCTAGCCATTTGCGAGTAGTCACTTTGCGAGTAGTGGAACGCGCTCGTCTAGACGACGTCGACGGGCTCCGGGCTCCGGAGGCCCACGCATCAGAAGGTTCAAGGCGCCTGATGCGGGGGCGGTGGCACACTTGAGCTTTGCGCTCCGTCCGGCATCGGGTGGCGCCCAGGCGTGCCATCGCCCAGAGGTGGGTCCCCCTAGGCAGGTTTTCCCCCTCGATCGATCCTCTTCTCTCCTCCCTCCTTTTCGATCCTGGATCATCCTCCTCCTCCTCCTCCTCGCCCTCCTCCTCGCCCTCCCTCCTCCTCCTCGCCCTCCTCCTCCTCCTCCTCGCCCTCGCGGTGGTTTCTGTCTCTCCTGTGCCCTGGCTCTCCGCAGAAGTCCTGACTCCTGGGGGAAGGAGTCGGGCCTTCTGCGGATTGACAACAATCATCTCGGCGGATGCCAGGATGAGCAGCAGGAGGAGTCGGGGAGTTCAGACGTCTTCGTCAGTTCTCAGAGTTTCCTCGCTTCGTCGGCACTGGCGCCTCGAGAGCGCCCCATGGATGCTCGAGAATCCTCCCGATCGGCCGCGCGATGCCCGAACTACGACCCGAAGGCCAGACATCCAACGCAGGGAAAACAGTCACGAGTTCATCCACCTGCTTTCGGCCTAGCATGGCCTTCGGCTGGCCCCGGCATCGTGAACAAGACTCTTCAGGATGATGTCGGGAGCGGCAAAGGGAGTTTATGTGTGTGTGTGTGTGGGGGGGATGTCACGGCGGGGGCCACGACGTCTCCCCAGATTTCTTGGTGCCTCTTCTTATTTCATCACGTTCCCGCCCCCCCCCTCCTGGGCCGCGCACATGCTGCTGGCCCCCGCTTGGACGCCCCCCTCTTGGACGCCCCCGGTGATGGGGCTCCGAGAGCACCGTGTTGCGGCGGGGTCTCGGCCCTGTCCGTGGTGCCCAGCCAGGATCCTAGGTCTTGGGAGGCTGAAAATCACGAGAATTGAAGTTACCCGTCGGTCGTTGACAGTAGGTACCCCCCCCCCATGGATCAAGCAGTGGCGATGCGTCCTGGCTCGTCTATAGCCCTACCAAACAATGTTCCAAGAACCTTTTGTGGTTTCCACGAAATGTTCTCAGAACGTTTCTGGCGAAGGCTGCTTTGTTTTACCACATCGGGCTCACGTTCTAAGAACACTGTGCTTGTTCTTAGCACGTTTTTGTTCTAAGGACATTTCGTGGTAGGACTACAGAAATGCCGGGACGGTCGGTCTCTGCTCAAATGTCTGGACGCCCGAAATGGGTACCGAAAGAATGGGTACAATGCCCAACAGCGGTTCCTGTTCATTTTGAACAGGACTCGCTGTCGGTGTCGCCGCGGCCTGTGTCCATTCGAGACAGAAGGCCGCCTGCCCAACAGCGGCCGCTGTTGGTTTGGGTCAACATTTGTTGTTGGGCATCGTACCCATTTTTTGGTACCCATGTCGGGCGTCCAAGACATGGACCATCCCCCTCGACCGTCCCCTTTTGTCTCGAAGAAAGCATGGACCATCCCCCTCGACCGTCCCCTTTTGTCTCGAAGAGGAGGCAGCATGAGCACACAGTTGTCGGAGGTCCGCGCAGAACTCTGTGGGATCGGCGCTGAATCCGCCGTGGGCGGCGCCTCGGGTAATCCAAAACCCTGAACGAAAGCATTTAGGAATTTAGATTCAAAGGTGGATAGGTTTTTTACGACGAGGTGGACTGAGCCTTGACACATAGGTTTTTGAGCCTTGGCACATAGGTTTTTACGCAGTCTCGGTTGGCATTTCAACCGCCGTGGGCGGCGCCTCGGGTATCGCCCCCTGCGCGCTCCGAGCGCCAGGAAGGGGGGTCTCAGGAGGGGAAAAAACACGCAGACACAATGAATCGTCGATTTCCCAGAAGGTATGGGAAAATATGGGAAGTGGGGGGAGAGGCAACCACCCAGAAGATAGTGGAAGATAGGGGGGATCCTGTTATTTGTGTCTATTTATTTGTGTGTCCCTGGGCCCCTTCAGCAAGGGGGGTCCAGCGCCGATCCAAGAAATCCGCGCGGACCTCCGAAGGATTCCTGGACTCCCAGGTTCCAATCTACTTTGGGCGCATTCCTTCTTCGATGATCGAGGTGCTTCCCCTCTTCCTTCCTCTTCAGGGGGGCTGGGCGAAATCCCTATCTGTTTTCACCGCTTTCCTACTTCATGCTTCTACCCGCTTCTTCCGACCGATGGGTGCTTATAGAAGTTGCAAGTTGTTGTAGGCATGACCTTCGCAGCGGAATTGCGGCCTCAGGCTGCCGGAGGCATGACCCGAAAGGCAGGCCTCGAAGATCCGAAGACCGACGAATTGTGTCAGCATGAGGTGTCGGAGGTCCGCGCAGATTTCCTGGATCGGCGCTGAGCCCCACCTGGCAGCGCCTCTGGCGCCCCCCCCTGGCGCGCTCCGTGCGACATGGCGTGCCCGTAGAGGGGGGTCCAGCGCCGACCCAAGAAGTCCCTGCTGAGCTCCGAAGGTCTGTGTTTTGAGTGGGCTGGAGGCCTTGTGCAAGGGGTGATTCTTGGGAGCGTGGTCGGGGCCACGCGTGTGTGCCCCTCCCCCGTGCCAGCGCGCGCGCGCGGGGAGAGCGCGCCGGGGGCGCGCCCGCGGCAGGCTGCTCCTGTCGCCGTGAGGTTTGCGAAGGGCCCTCGAGGCAGGCCGCCCGGCCTTCCTGCAGCGCTGGTGGCAGGCGAGGCATGCGCGGACGTGTAAGGGTGTTGTTGTGGCTATCTGAACGCACATACTTGCCAACCGATAAATCTATACATACATACATACATACATGCATGCATGCATGCATGCATGCATGCATGCATGCATGCATGCATGCATACATACATACATACATACATACATCATACATACATACATACGAGCGCATACATAACGCACATACATACATCATACATACATACAACATACATACATACATACGCACATACATACGCACATACAACCACAACCAGCAACGGGTCCCCCAGGATGTTGACAAAAACCTTCATGGTCGAGGCCAGGACCCATCAGTGTGCTGTGTCGCATAATTGAGCTGTGCGGGGGGGGGGGGGGGGGGGGGGGGGGGGGGGGGGGGGGGGGGGGGGGGGTGGGGGGGGGGGTGGGGTGTGGGGGGGGGGGCCGTGTCTCGGGATGCCTCTCGAGGGCCTCGTCAGGGGCTCCTCGGGGCCCATGGGGGGCATGCTTGGGGCCTTGAGGATGCCCCTTATGGGGAGCGGCGGGGGTGGGAGAGTGGGAGGGCCGGTCGGGGGGGGGGGGGGGGGGGTGGGGGGGGGGGGGGGGGGGGGGGGGGGGGGGGTGGGTGGGCTTTCTTCTGCCCGCTCTTGGGAGATGCTGGCGAGTGTGCCCCCAGACATCCGACGGTATGATTTTGTCAGCGCGCGACCACTGAGGTCCTGGCCCTTTCCCCTGGAGTAGCTGTTCGCTCAGATCGGTTTCTGATTCTTCTTGGATCCGAAAGCGCGCTCCAGGGACCGAGCTCTGGGGAACAACACGTGGATCGAACACATCGTTGGAGACTGGGGTCCGCGTCCTGCCATCGCCTGTGGCCACCGAGCGTCCCCGACATGTCTCAGGAGGAGGAGGAGGAGGGGGAGGGGGACAAGCTAGGTGCGCTCGCGTCATATCTGACATCCTACCCCTCCCTCCCATCCCTTACCATGGCGTAGATCCCCTCTCTACTCGCACAGTCGGATGTCGAGCAGGGCAATGATCCCGAAAGGGTACGCGATGCATTGTAGAGCACGGCATGGCATGGCGTAGAAGAGCACCGCGAAGCGTAGAATCAACCTAGCATTGCATTGCATGCCGTGGCATGGCACGGGAAATGACGCCAGCGCTGCAGAGGGAGCACGAGTCGAAACGAGCGGAAGCGCGGAAATGAGGCCAGCGATGCGGCGGGAGCACGATTCGGAACGAGCGGAAGCACGGAAATCAGGCCAGCGCTGCAGCGGGAGCACGATTCGGAACGAGCGGGGCCCGAAAATGAGGCCGGCGCCTCAGCGAGAGCAGCATTTTGCAACAAAATGCAAGCGAAAACCCAACTCCTGGGAATCCTGTCAGGCGGTCCTCCTCGTCCTCCACCTCGTCCTCCTCCTCCTCGTCCTCCTCCTCGTCCTCCTCCTCCTCGTGCTCCTCCTCCTCGTCCTCCTCCTCGTCCTCCTCCTCGTCTTCCTTCTCGTCCTCCTCCTCCTCGTGCTCCTCCTCCTCGTCCTCCTCCTCGTCGTCCTCGGTCGGTTCTCGGAGCGGGTTCTCAGAGCGGGCTCCCCTTGCAGTGCGCATGACTCTGGCGTTCCGCGCTCCGCTTCCGCCGGAGGCCCAGCCGAGGGCCCCCTAACGGCGCCCGAGCAGCTCTCGAGCTTCCTCCTGGGTGCCTGGGTCGTCGTCGTCTCGGGTCGGACGAGAGGAGGAAATAGTCGGCCACGCGCAGAGGGGGGTAGGGGGAGGGGGGAGGGCTTTTTAGAAGCACCCTTGCTTGCTTCTTAGAAGGCGCGCGCCTTGTCTATAGATGTAATGCCCGCGCCTTCGAAGAAGCAGACACCTTCTGAGAAGCCTTCCCCCCTCCCCCTACCCCACCTCTGCGCGCCGCCAAGATACCCCGCGCGGAAAGTATCCATGCGACCGCGCACCTTCAAATCCGACGTAGCGAAACAGTCACGACCGGAGCCCCGGGACCCACCCTTCCGTGCAGCCTTCGCCCCAGATCGATCCATGCTGGCCCCCGGTTTTGACACGGGGCGAACTGGCCCGTTATGAGACATTGCCACGCTAGGATCTCGGGGTATCCTCTCCGACGAAGCATCTATACACCACCACCGTGCCAGGCCAGGGCCATCCTGGGCCCCAGGATGGTGGTGTATTGACCCTCTTGGCCTCGGCCAGGAGGGCGTATACACCATCCTGGCCTCTAGGATGGCCCCGGCCTGGCACGGTGGTGGTGTATAGATGCCTTCTGCGAATCCTCGGGATCGCGCGCCAGAGTCCAGACCGCGAGGGCGTGGATATTGCTACGTTGTGAGGAAAATCCTGCAGGCCTCGCGCGCCGCGCAGTAGTTGTACGATCCAGGCCGCACGGTTGCCACGTGAGATCTGCCACGACGTTCGCGCGGCGTTGTTCACGTCAGCCCCTCGCAGGTGCGGCGTAAATCCAACGTGGGCCTGGCGTAACTCCGACGTGGATCCGACGTGAATTGGGTCTTGAGTTCCCTCGCCAGGCCTCCAGGTGGTCCCTGGAGGTCTCGCGCGGCAAGCCGGCGCGACGCGTTCGCCGCTCCTGAAGTTTCCAGGAGTGTCGCGCGGCGTGATACGTTCTCCGCTCGTGAGGAGCACGGGGCCGGGAGCCCGCTGGCCACGGGCGCGGCCGGGGCCCTTGCGCAGCCGCGGGCGGCCCCGTGCGCGACGTGGCCGCGGGCTCCGCCCGCGCTCCGCCCGCCGGCACCCCGCCGGCCCGCCCGCCTGCGCAGCCCGGTCGGTGCCCCGAGCGCTGCCGCCAGGCGTTCGGCTGTGCCCAGGGCACAGATCTCCGACGTACAGGTCAAGCAGTGGCGAAGCGTCTTGGCGTGCCTATAGCCCGACCAAACAATGTTCTAAGAACCTTTTGTGGTTCCCGCGAAATGTTCTTAGAACATTTCTGGCGGAGTCTGTTTTGTTTTATCACATCGGGTTTATGCTCTAAGAACATTGTTTTTGTTCTTAGAAGATTGTTGGGTTCTAAGAACACGTCGTGGTAGGACTATAGGAGTGCCGGGACGGTCGGTCCCTGCTCAATCCCCAGGGCACAGATCTCCGACGAACAGGAGGTCCGCGCGAACACAAGACCAGTGAACGACCCGAATCGGGGGCCACACGCGAACCCTACCCCTTCCCCCCACGATTTCTGAGGGGGAGGGTGGGGTTCACTTCGTGCAGGGTAGGGGGGGGGGGTTCGCATGTGGCCCCCTATCGAACACAGACATCTTCGTATGATCCGAGGAGCAAGCAAAGGACGTGAACACAAACGTTCGGAGGTCCGCGCGGATTTCTCGGGTCGGCGCTGGGGCCCCGCGGCGGTGCCTTTGGCGCCGTCCCTGGCGCGCTCCGCGCGCCAGGACGGGGGGGTCCAGCGCCGATCCAAGAAGTCAGCGCGGACCTCCGCGGGGGAAGGAGGAGCGACACCACCACCACCACCACCACCACCACCACCACCACCACCACCACCACCACCACCATGACCTCCAGGTGGGCCACCTCCAACGAAGAGGTCGGAGGTCCACGATGCCTCTGTCCCGCGCAGGGCCGTGCCCAGCGCCGCCGCAGCACAGCGCCCCGCGCGCCGTCAGACAGCGTTCTCAGCGTAGCAAATGCCCAGAGCTGCCGTGCCAGGTCATACGCTGGCGCGCGCTTTCACGGTTAAAAGTTTTAAAAAGTTGTCAGGCGGAGAACCCTTCCATCATTGGCGCCGACGTCGTCGGTGGTGCCGCTTATTTCGTCGCTATGGCTATCCATGCGTCGCCCAACGCCTATGCGGACAAACGTTGGGGCGAACTGCAAGCGCGGCATTCGCGCGCGCGTTCCCCGTGCTGCCGGGGGAACATTTCGGATAATATTTGGGGGCGCATGAATGGGGGGGGCATTGGAAAAGGGAGGAGGGTGGGATGGGGGTCGCGGAGGAAAAGGTGGCTCATTGGAACCTCTTGGCCGTCATGGAGACGGCGCGGCCATTCAGTCTTGAGGCCGTCTTGGGGCCCTCCTGAGGGCCATATTTGACAATGTTCGGACCGTCTTGGGGCAGTTTGGGGACCATGTTTGGCAATGTTAGCCGCATTGGAAGCCATCTCGTCTCGCATATATCCTAGATCTCGCCTGCGTCAGGATATCCCGGGCGAAACGCTCGTTATAAACGTCGGGTCAGATTTTGGCCAAGTTGTCGGACCATGTATTCCACCAGCCGATCTGGAAACCTTTCGGGGTACATTTGGGGGAGGAACAGGCAAAAGGAGAAGAGGGGAGACAAGTGAGTGAGTGTGATGATGATGATGATGATGATGATGATGATGATGAGGAGGAGGAGGAGGAGGAGGAGGAGGAGGAGGAGGAGGAAGATGTAAGAGGCCTCTCGAGAAGCTCTGGAGCACTTTGGGGGCCTCCTGGGTGCTTCTTGGTTGCCTTTTGGAGGTCTCTTGGAAACCTCCTTGGGCCTCTTGGGGGCTTGGGCGCTCCTGACTCGTCTGACGCCGTCGGAGCCGTCTTGGGGGCCTCCCTAGGCCGACGTGGGGCCTTCCTAGCGCGCGTCAGGGCCGTCTAGAAGGCCATCTTGAGCGCCTTACAGGTTTCCTGGGCTGTCATGGGGCCCCCTCTTGGGGCCGTATTGGGGACCTCTTGGGCCGTCAGGGAGCCATCTTGGAGGCCTCCTGGACGCTCTTGGGGACATCTTGGGTGCCTTTTGGGTTGTCCTGAGCCGTCGGAAAGCAGAAAGTGAGCAAACGCCAGAATTTATCAAACACCCATTGAAAATCATCTTGGGCCCGAAGGCGGGACGCGCCGAAGCCCCAGGGGGAGTTCTTTCGACAAGACAAAAAAATACCAAAACCGAAAGGATCCAGCACGCCGGGCACCCTTGTGATGAATCCACAGGGGGCGGCG